CCACTGTTTTGCATCAGGAGCACTAATGACTTCTACAAAGCTACTTGGATCATTATCAACTAGGCATGTATAAAAATCATTACCAAATGAAGTTTCCTTCCTCTGTCTTTTACTTCTTCTTAATTCCTCACACAAGGCATTATTATTATTATTATCTATAGGTTGAGACGTCTTACTAACCTTTAAAGGAAAAACATGTTCAAAAAACTCAGCATTTTTCGTCTCCATTAATAGAATTTCTTTCAAGTATATCACTTTTAAGAACTAGAAACCTATAGACAGCACTATGTTCAGCATAGCCTGAGAACACACACTCACGACTTCATTGAATACACTAATTTTATGAAAAAAAGTCTATATTTATTATGGTAGTTCTATAATATATTTATAATTCAAATATTTATTTATACAAACTTCTTAAACTATATATATATATATATATATATATATATATATATATATATATTTAGATTGAGTTTATTTTTGTAATTTTATTCTTTTGTCTGTGTTTATTTGTTTTTGTCTTTCCTGGTAATATAATTTGTATACGTGAACAAAAAAGTAGGAGCTAAGGTGACATTGGAGCAAGAAGATAAAATTGAAAAATTACGATAGAAATGTTTTAAATCTTAGATTGATACTTTTGAAAAATTCTATTAAGACTATAGTTATATTTTAAGACTATAATTATATTTTAAGACTATAGTTATATTTGAAGGTACTTATGAATTCATTTTAAATGTATTTTGAAAATGAATTTGATCTAGCTATGAATTATAATGTGAAGTTTTTCCCAAATAATCACTAATGCTACAAGGATCATATGATAATGAAACTCTATTAGTTATTTATCTTTAATTTTCTAAGTTGCTACATACTTTTATTTTAAAAAAATATAGGAATGTAGTAGATAGAATTTTCTTATTTTTACTTATGAAGCTTGGTTTTTCTTTTGATATCAATGTTCAACAAACATATATGATTATTTGTGTAACATCTATGTCACCCCTTGATAATTCATAGTTAATATATTCTATCATTATATAGTCATTCATAAGGAATATAAAGGTTTTCACATATGATACATGTTTTTAAACTCAGATTTCAGCTACAACACTCATAAATATAACTTGAACTCTTCTCATTTATTCTTTTGTCTCTCTCTTCACTTATACTGGATCGGACGACATTCCCTCATCTACTCCCGTATTACACAACGTTATACGGTCATCGTAAAAATAAAAACACAAAAACACAAACAAGTAGGGTGACCTAACATGTAATAGATAATTCCTCCAACATGCATAAAGATATTACTACACATAACAATAATCATATTATTAAGCAATAATTATACTAGACTTTATCATCACACCATACAATAATCATGCTAGCCTAAATAATCAAATCTTACAATAATCATACTTAACACACTCATCCGGATGATACGTTAATGTTCGATCGCGGGAGGTTGTGCACTTGTGATGACCTCCACTTTTCTTTACAAATACACTTCTAATACAACACTTCATGTCATCCACAAGGTAAATCTGTTAACACCTATGCCAAAAACTAACACATAGACTAGGATCTCCTACCCCTCTCACCACATAACTCATCATTCTCTACTTTAGACTAGATGATTATTAGAGTATCATGATAACCTCCAACAATAGGACCCTCAACATCAACGTGTACACTAATTAATTACAACCACAAAGTCTCTCCACGAGACCCTTGACAATCTCACATCATGTTCATATTCATCAACCCATTCATCATACAATACATATTTGATTCAAAATCATGTTCATAGCTTAACATAGAATAATGTTCAAGTCAAAGATACAATCAGACATACAAATCAGTAATTAAAATTACTCAAAATTCTACTCAATATAATCAAATATTATTAGGAATTTTACTAGTTATAGTATTTCGTAGGATGATTATTCTCATTATAGCCTCTAATTAAAGACCTCACCAATCAAAATAAATAATAACATGTTTAGAACCTACTGTAAAAATTTTAGTTTGATCCAACACACCACGCTCCACCACCTAAGCGTCTTCTCCCTTCTGTTGCACCTCCATCACCTTTGCATCTCACCTTCGTTCTCACACCACCACCCAACGCGATCTCTTGCTATGCCGCGACCATCAATCTTCACCATTTTCACCCTCGCACCATCCAAATCGACGTCGCGCCAGCAGCACTGTCATCCAATCTCCACCACATAATCATTCACCACTAACCACCAGCCAAATCGCCAGTTGCTACAGATCGCAAAACGCCACTCTTCTCCACCACTAACAAACTGTGGAGACTTAGGGTTTCTCGCATTCTCATCGCATAGCTTTGGTGGTGGCGTGTGATGCGTTGGAGAGGACGGATGCCGGCGAGGATGGCGGTGACGACGCTGGATGGTGCGACGGCTAGGGTTTCTTGGAGAGATATTAGGGTTTGTCTAGAGATGGTAATGATGACATGGTAGAGACTTTTTTTTAAAATTAAAAAATCATTTAAGTCTACCTATTAACGTGTGCCACGTGCTTATGAGATGCCACGGTGGCATTTGCACCGTTATATTTTTAACGGCGTGAGCGAAAATGACCGAATTGAACATTTTTTAACAAAATATGGGATCTTACTGAACTTTTTTAAAAGGTAGGATTACTTTGAACCAAACCCCTAAAAGTAGGGACCAAATGATATATTAAACCAAATAAATTTAATAATACACATTAGACGAGTCATTTATTGATTACAAAAGTCTTTCTACACACAAATTACACTGGTATATTAATACACATTGGACAAATTTGTTCATTTACTGATTGGATGAATCTTGCAATACATATTATACAATTTTGTTCATATATATATATATATATATATATATATATATATATGTATATATATATATATACATATATATATGTATACATGTATAGATATATATATGTATACATGTATACATATATATATATGTATATCTATATATATATACACATATATATATATATATATATATATATATATATATATTTATATACATATATATATATATATTGTCGCAACCAGAATCGCGACAGGACGACGATCCAAAAAGGGATAACGGGTTTTGAAAAGAGATTTGGAGTCGCCACCATAGTTTATTCTGGAAAACTACGGAAAAACCATAAAAGGATAAGGCATAGTCTACAAGAACCAGATCTGGGTTCGGGAGTCGGTTACGTGTAGGGAAGGTATTAGCATCCTACAACGCCTGCCCTAAGGTAGTACCTTTAACTAAATATGCGAATATGATGTGGTTTTCAAAATGTTTAACTGTTCCCTAAAATAAAATCCTAAAGAAACAAAATATATTTTTTAATATTTTGGGCCCGACAAGGATTGACCTTGCTCCTACGTATTCTCATTCAGAATGAGAAATCAGGGTTACGTAGTTCTTTTGGAAATTATGTTGAAAATTTTGTTTAGGAAATTGTTTGAAAATTTGTCTTCAAATTATTTTGGATAATTTTAAATTTTTGGGAAGTAAAAGAGAAGAGGTTTTTAGCACAAGGACGATACGTGCGATCACACATGTGCCTAAACCTTTAAAACATTTTTATTATATTTTTAGAAGAGAAGAAGAAAAGGTTCTAACACAAGGATGATGCGTACGATCACACATGTGCCCAAACCTTTAAAACATTTATTATTAAATTTTTTAGAAGAGAAGAAGAAAAGGTTCTAACACAAGGACGATGCGTGCGATCACACATGTGCCTAAACCTTTAAAACATTTTTATTATTTTTTAGAAGAGAAGAAGAAAAGGTTCTAACACAAGGACGATGCGTACGATCACACATGTACCTAAACCTTTAAAACATTTATTATTAAATTTTTTAGAAGAGAAGAAGAAAAGGTTCTAACACAAGGACGATGCGTGCGATCACACATGTGCCTAAACCTTTAAAACATTTTTATTATTTTTTTAGAAGAGAAGAAGAAAAGGTTCTAACACAAGGACGATGCGTGCGATCACACATGTGCTTAAACCTTTAAAACATTTTTATTATCATTTCTTATAAAAATGCATTTAAANAATTTAAATTGTTGTTTGTAATTTTTTTTACGGAGAAAGAAACAAAACAAACAGTCTATAGATATAAATAACCAAGGGTGTTGGCTCTATCATACAGGGGTTTACATGCAATAAAAAACTAATAAATCAAAAAGAAAACAAAAGCCATAAAAAAGAAGAAAGCAAGAGAAAAGCCCAACATGAATAGGAGTACAAAGATAAAAACCAGAGGTGTGGAGTGAAATTGAGGCTCTTTAGTTTGGGCCCAAACCCCTTTTTTAACTTTGTGCCTGTCAGGGATGTAAGGATGAAATTTGGAGGTGCAATTGAACATTTGTTTGTCAGGCCCAATTTCCCATTTGTTTTAATTTTGTCTGCAGGGAAAGCAGAAAGAAACGGACGGGCTTTAGCCCAACAGAATAAGGGTGCGAAAATAGAGAATGAGGACGGCGAGAAAGAATCCTTTATTTTTTTTTTTTTTAGGGACAGAATGGGCAAGCCCAGCCAAGGGAATGGATAGAGGTGTGCGGGTGAGAAAGGGGGGTGCGCGGAGGAGAGAAATGTTTTATTATATTATATATTTATTAGGAAGTTGGTGAGAAGGCCCAGGCCTTCTTCGTCTCAGCTCAGGTAACCCTTAGGGGTTCTGCATCTCTCACATACCATTTCAATGAATCCCGGTCTTCTTTCTCTCTGAACAAGAAAAACCCAGAGTTTACTCCACCGTTCAACGACCAGGTCTTCGTCTCTGCCCACACGGCCACCGCAAAGGGGGGACGGCTCTACCCGGTCCGCGCCGCGGCGATGCTAGGCGCCACCAGGGTCGCCGCTGGCCACGGCCTCGATCCGCTTTTTCCTTTCTTCTTGCGCGCGTGCGGCCGCTTCTCGCCAAGCCGACCACCGCGAAGAGGCCCTCCGCCTAGTCCATGAAGTCGCCGGCGACCCCAAGCACCACCAGCCGCGGCGTCCAGTCTTCTCCCTTGCCTCCATTTCCGTGCGCTAGAGGAAAAACTCCTCGGGTCCGACACCGGCCTCCGCTTGGGTACGAGTTCTCTCCTTCTCCGTCGAACATCCAGACACGCAAATCACGGCCAAGGTTGCCGCCAGTTGCCAACTCGAGCCAACTCTCAGGCCACGAGCAAAACCCTACCGTCGACGAAGCTATCCCCATTGTCTCACGCCGGATGTCACCTTCTCCTCTCTTTTCCATCTTTTTATATCTAGTTGGTTTGGGATTTGGTTTATTATTCTCATTTCTATTGATGTCTTTTACTTGATGTTTCTGTTTACGGCCTTGTGCTTTCTGGGTGTAAGTAAATGGATACGGGAAGTGTTGTGTTGGGACGGAAACACCTATATTCTACTGTTACTTATAACTGATGAAACTTATTGAAACTGGTGCAGTTTTGATTAACAGATGAATTCACAAAAGAGGCAAATGACTATGTACCGATCAAACGTCCTTCATACATATCCAGACAACATCATTCATTCATACCCAACATCATTCATTCATATCTAGACAGAGGGCATGCATTCTTATAAGACAAGGCCAAGAGCTTAGACAGGGAAACTCACCTTCGCAGCTTCAAACGAAAATCGTCCTTTTGGTTCTAGCTCCCCTGCCCTCTTCGAGTGATCTTCCTTTACGGTCGTCTCACCCTCTTCCAAGCGTAAGAAGGTTGAAGGCAGAAAATGGTTCGGATGACCGTGAGGTCTCTCTCTTGACTACGGCTGATAGGCGATGAAGGTAAATATCTGATGTTTCTCTAAGGTGAGGTCTCCTCTCCAATGTATCAATCTTCCTCCCGTCTCCAATGTGATTCCCCTTTTATGACCGTGATGAAAACCTTTTCAAAAACCAACCCCGAACTCCTCTTCTGTCCTGCATCTGCGAGCTCTGGAATATCTTCTGGATGGGATTTCCTTTTGTTTTTTTCTTTTTATGATGTTCACTGTATCGGCTATCAGTTGGCAGAAGCTTGCTTTCAAAAAAATCATTCTCTTTTATGTATACTTGCAGTCGTAAGTAGGGAATTATAGGAAGAAGAGTCTCTGCCTTTTGTTGCTGCCATTGTAAATGAACTTTGAGCATTGCGCAATGTGCTTTTTGCCTGAACACTGCTTACTGCTTGTTTTTATGTTACAGGTTGACCTGGGTTTTTCTTTTCCTTTTTTTTCTTTTTTTTTTCGTTTTCTACAATAAAATGATAACTAATATAATATATATATATATATAATATAATAATATATATAAATAATAAATAATAAAACCTAAGGAACATACAAATATAAATTAAAAATAAAAATGAAAGTAATTAAAATGAACCAATGAGATAACATAAAATAAGATGAAAATTAAAACAATGATTTAGTCACTCCGGAAGAAATTAGGCTGCTGACCACTAGCAGCTGGTGTGAAAACAAAGGGGTGCGAATGCAGGAACTATCATGACATACAAGTCATCTCTTTCTTCAGCTTTTTCAATCATCTGCATGGTTGACTTGTTCTTGTATTTCACATGAAAATTCAGAAATGGTAATTTTACAAGAGAGAGATTTAGTTAACTTTATGACCGAAATAAGATTGACTGAAAGATTAGAAACAAACAAGACATTATGTAAAGTAAGGTATGGGCCAAGAGAAATTGTTCCATAAAAATGAGCAAATGAAGAGTTCTTATTGGGTTAGGAGATTAGAAGATTTAGGGTAGAGATGTTGTAATTGGTGAGATTTATGATAAGGAAATAAAAGGAGACAAAAACGGATATATGATCAGTCACAACTGTGTCTAGAATCAATTGGGAATAAATATTACCTTGTCCTTGAGAAGAGAAGTGGAAACATTATGATACTCACTAGACCGATAGAAATAGACTAGATGTGTAACTGTGGGATTAGATTGAGGAAGAAGTGCCAATAGACCATGAATTTGCTCTTGAGAAAGTCTTAGAGTTGAGGAATGTGACTGCGCCTGAGAATTGTTAGAAGAAGGAACAACTGCAGAAGCCATTGAATTTTACAACCTCAAATTGGACAAAAATCTCAGACGCCCGAATCTCCGAAAACTCCTTCAGATTCCTCAAAAATCAATCCAGGGCTGCGAGTGATTAAAGAACCTAATATTTTCTCATTGAAAACCCTAGAAAGCAAAGTCAAAACATAAAACATAACAATGCGAGAGTACTAGAGGGAGTAGCCATAGAAGGAGAATAAATTGTAGGAAAGCCAAGGACGAAAGGTAGAAGATGAAGATCTTGGCAGTAACATAATTGGTTGCGAAAGAACGTGATCAAGAATTAATTTTCTAGTGATACCATGTTATTTCTCCAACAATCATGTTTGATGGCTTGGTTATAGGTTTTAGTTCATAACTTGGGAAAGAGTGGGGAAAGATAAGGAACATATGATTTATGAAGAGGATGATAATTGCATTATGAGAGATATGAAGGGATAGGATATAAGGTACCTGTGGATGACTAAGTGGCGAAAGAAGTAGATAACATGTTGCAATGATAGTCCTGTAGATAACATGGTTTATGTTTTGGCCTGATTGATTTCCTTTGTGGAGTAGCAATGGCAGGTTCAACAGAAATAGGTTGAGAAGGAGGAGATGTAGGTGGTAAAGGAGGGTTGATCAGTAACTTCTGAGAAAAGAGGTGATGGAGAGGAAATGATTTTGGTGACAAAATCCAAGGAATTTTGTGTATCAATAGGTGAGTGTTTGTCACTAGTAAGAAAATGAAATATGTTTTCATAAAATACTACATTCCTTGATAGAAAAATTTCCCTTGACGTTGAAATTTTTTAGAAGAGAAGAAGAAAAGGTTCTAACACAAGGACGATGCGTGCGATCACACATGTGCCTAAACCTTTAAAACATTTTTATTATTTTTTTAGAAGAGAAGAAGAAAAGGTTCTAACACAAGGACGATGCGTGCGATCACACATGTGCTTAAACCTTTAAAACATTTTTATTATCATTTCTTATAAAAATGCATTTAAAAAGTAGATAAATATTTAAAATGGGAATAAAAGAGAGAGAAAAAAGAAATAATAATAATAATAAAATTAAAAAAAATTAAAATAAAAATAAAAATAAGAAATAAAAATAAAAATAAAAATAAAAATAAAAATAAAAATAAAAATAAAAATAAAAATAAAAATAAAATTAAAAGTAAAATAAAAATAAAAATAAAATAAAAAGATAAATAAATAAATAATGAAAATAAAGTAAAAAGTAAAAGGATAAAATAAAATAAAAATAAAATAATAAGTAAATGATAAAAAAAAGAGTGTGGAGGTGCTAAATAAGAAACAGGGGTGCTTAAACAAAACGAACTGGACCAAAGCCCAAACGGGGAGGGGTGCGAAAATGAGAATAAAGGGGCGCAGGGAAGAAATTTGTTTTTTTGTTATTTTATTTTTTAGGAACAGAATGGGCCTCAGCCCAGACCAAGGGAATGGATAGAGGGTGTGCGGGTGAGAAACGGGGGTGCGCGAAGGAGAGACATGCTTTTTTATCTGAATATTTTTAAGTGAAAGTTAGATCAGGCCCAGGCCTTTTCGCCCCTTCAGCTCAGGAAACCCTTAGGGATTCTCCAATCCTTCACATTGCACCATTTCTTCCAACTGAGACCCAGGGTCTTTTCCTCTCTGAACAAGAAAACCCCGCGGCGCTCACCTCCGCCGTTCAACAACCACGTCCCAGCCTCCGCCCAAACGGCCACCGCAAAGGGGGGGAAGGTGGCCTCTACCCGGTCCAGAACATCGTTGGCAATGCTAGGCGCCACCAGGGTCACCGTTGGCCACGGCCTCGGATCCGCTTTTTCCCTTCTTCTTGCGCGCGTGCGGCCGCTTCCGCCAAACTGACCACCGCGAAGAGGCCCTCCGCCTGGTCCATGAAGTCGCCAGTGACCCCAAGCGCCACCAGCCGCGGCGTCAAGTCTTCTCCCTTGCCCCCATTTCCGTGCGCTAGAGGAGAAACTCCTCCGGTCCGACACCGGCCTCCGCTTGGGTACGAGTTCTCTCCCTTCTCCGTCGAACATCCCAGCACCGCGAATCACGACCAAGGTTTCCGCCAGTTGCCGAACTCCGAGCACCACCTCTCAGGCCACGAGCGAAACCCTACCGTCGACGAAGCTAGCCACCACTGTTCTCGCCAGAATTCGTTTCGTCATCGACGCCACCGATGTCACGCTTCTCCCTCTCTTTTCCATCTTTTTTATTTACTAGTTGGTTTGGGATTTGGTTTACTTATTCTCTGTTTTCCAACTTGGATGCTTCTGTTTACTTGGATGCTTCTGTTTACGGCTTTGATGCTTTCTGGGTGCAAGTAAATGGATACGGGAAGTTTTTGTGTTGAGTGAAAACACCTATATTCTATTGTTACTTATAACTGATGAAACTTATTGAAACTACATTTTGGGTGCAGTTTTGATTAACAGGTGAAGTTATAAAAGAGGCAAACGACTATGTACCAATCAAACGTCCTTCATACATATCCAGACAGCATCATTCATTCATACCCAACATCATTCATTCATATCTAGACACATAACAGAGGGCATGCATTCATATAATACAAGGCCAAGAGCTTAGACAGAGAAACTTACCTTCGCAGCTTCAAACGAAAATCGTCCTTTTGGTTCTAGCTCCCTCTGCCCTCTTCGAGTGATCTTCCTTTTCGGTTGTCTCACCCTCTTCCAAGCGTAAGAAGGTTGAAGGCAAATGGGCTCGGATGACCGTGAGGTCTCCTCTTGACTACCAAGTAACGGTGATAGGCGATGAGGGTAAATATCTGATGTTCTCTCTAATGGTGAGGTCTCTCTCCAATTGGTGATGATTAGTGATCCCCCTGTCTCCAATGTGATCCCCCTTTAATGACCGTGATGAAAACCCTTTTCAAAAGCCAACCCCAAACTCCTCTCTGTCTTGCATCCTGCGAGCTTTGGGATATCTTCTGGCGTGGGATTTTCCTTTTTTTTTTCTTTTCTTCATGTTCACTGTATCGACTATCAGTTGGCAGAAGCTCGCTTTCAGAAAAAAAATCCTTCTCCTTTTGATGTATACTTCTAGTCCTCAGTAGGGAATTATAGGAAGAGGAGTCTCTGCCTTTTGTTGCTGCCATTGTAAATGTCCATTTTGAGCATTGCTTTTGTTAATTGTATATGCTGCTTTTTGCCTTTTCTGAACACTGCTTACTATTGTTTGCTTACTGCTGTTTTATGCTACAGGAAGGGGTTGACCTTGTTTTTTTCTCTTTTTTCTTTTCCTTTTTCTTCTTTTTTTCGTTTTCAAATAAAATTAAATAACTATTATATATATATATATATATATATATATATAATAATAATAATAATAATCTAAATAAGAAGGTAAAATTAAAATATAAATTAAAAATAAAAATGAAAGAAAATAACATAAAATAAAATAAGATGAAAATAAAATAAATCTATTATAGTCAATCCGGACGAAATTAGGTGTTGAATATACATACATATACATATACATATACATATATATATATATATATATATATATACACACACACACACGCACTAGTAAAAAAGAGGTTTTTAACTCGCACATTACACTTCGATTTCAAAAAAATTGAAACGTATCAAAACGCGGTGAAAATTTCGTAATTCTTTTGAAACTATATGCCTCAGTTCAATTTGAACCGATGCCTTAGTCCATTAAAATCTATATCCCTGATCAATGACCATAGATTAGGACCTCCTACTACTCTCCACCACATAACGATCCATCTCTACTTGAGATTGTGGTTATTGAGAGCGTCAGGATAAACCTTCGTATTAACTCCATCCATTCGTACAAATAACACTACAAGGCACCACCATGTAACCTCTTCACGAGTCATGGAATTACGTCCATCAATACCATTCACATAATCAACCACATACTCATCATCATCATATCTCTCATAATCATATATATATATATATATATATATATATATATATATATAAAATCTTGTTTCCAATTCATATTACAAATCAATTCATACTCCACAACAAGTAATAGAAACCAATCATTCAAACACTCACATACATTGCACACACTTTAAGAAAATATATAAAAACTTAGTTGAAAATCTGATATTTTCGCTCAGCCATCAATTCTGCTCGCTCAGCTAAAAGTGTTTGCCATCCCATTCGCTCAGCCGCCAAGATTCGTTGTGCGAAAACAGAAACAATGGACCTCACTCACCTCTTGCTTAACGACCACTCTCGCTCAGCTATAAGTGTTCTGCTCGCTCAGCGGACATACACTCGCTCAACAAGATTGCATAATTCTACTGTGCCAAAACTGTTTAATTTGCACTCCTCAACCACTCATGACCTATCATATGCATCTTTTCCAACTTCTAACACCCGTAGATTGTATTCTAAACTGAAAATTGACCTAACCAAACATATCTAAACCAAGCTAAACTCCTTTTAAACTAATTAACCACAAGATTTCAATCTAAAATTAACCAAAACCTCACTTTATAGACCCAAATTGAATTCTACCAGTTATAGCTTATTTTTAAACAACTTAAGGACTCCAACAAGTCCCAAATAACTTACTAACACCCTCCAAAATGATTATTTATACATAGGACCTAAAATTCAAAATCTCACCAGTTCAAACCCCTAAAATATACTTAAACAACTTTGTAAAAATACTCCAAAATGACTACTACTCCAAACTAACACACTTATCAACTAATTCTCATCCCCATTAAGTTACAAATGACCAAATTAACTCCCTTGAATCACAAATTCTCACTTTAGACTAGTATTTCAGAAAATCACCTCTCAAACCTCCATTTTAGACCAAATTGACCAATAAATCTACGCCCACCTTTACTCTTAACATTTCAACCAAATTTAACACCAACACGATCATACTAACTGTAATCACAAAGTTACATGGAATTCACACAAAGTATAAAGCATCATATCATTCCTTATTCTTAGTCAAACACAATTAACATTAAAACAATCATTTTAGACATAGCCAACATTATACAATAACATACATACCAACAGTCACAATTTCACACATTATTATCAAATTTAAAGACACACACTAGCTTCCCTTACCTCTTAAAGAAACTTCCCAACTCTAAGAACGCTCCGCCGATTACTTGAATCGCAAGGAAATACCTAGACGAATTTACAAAACACCAAATTGAAAACGGACAGAGTCCTTAGAACTCTAGATGAACTAAGACCAAGTAGGAGAGGCATGATTACACATGCAACAATACTAGATATACTTCTAAGATAGATTTGGGAACAAAAAGGAAAAAAAGAGTTGAAACTTACTTGCTTTATCGAAGAAACTGATCAAGTAAAAACGTATACATCGTTGCTGTGATCGATTAGGTACCTTCTTCGTCAAAGAGATGACTCAAAAGTTAAAACTCTTAGAGAGAAGATGAAAAACTCTAAAAAGTGATTTCTAGAAAAATAGTACATTTTAAAATAATAAAACTCGTTTATAACATAACTATTTATAAATAAATTTAATATTAAAATAACGGAGTTTTATTATTTTTAAACTACCACCATTTCTAAAATATTATTTTTTTGGGTTTTACACAAATAAATATACAAATAAATATCAAATTTTACGTACATATGAAGTAGTTGTGTATGAAATGAAAAAAAATCAAAAGGTAAAAGAACATATTTGGACAGCACAACAAATTTTCAATGTAGTGGCATCCCACCCTCGTATTTACATGAGATGAGACACGTTTGGCGCCAAAACTGTGCAGGTTTTGGGATATGTTGTACGTTTTAAATAATAATTGATGATATTTATTACAGAAGGGAATACGTGCCGTACGTTACTAGGCAAGGAAGCAAAAGCTAGATTCTCTGAGGATAGGAGTGTGAAGCACATGGTTTCACATCACGTTAATAGACAGAAGTGGATGCCAACCTGTAACTTGTTGCACAGGTGAGGCACAAATTATTAAAGACTTAATTTTAAATTTCTCACTCTTTTTCTAAAAAAAAAAATACTTTCAGGTAATTAATTGTAATTTTAACTTTTTAGAGTAACTTAAAAAAACAATTAAGGAAAGGGAAATTCAAATATATTAATTGAAGAATTCTTGTTAATTATTTATTTTTAAATAGAATTATCAATATTCTCCTTAAAATAATTGAAATTTTAAAGTAATCTCTAAAATTAAAAATCAATTAGTCTAACTATTACCTTCGATTAATCAGTTATATAAAAATAGATTTAGGGTTGAATTTGAAATTGAAGTAGAATACACTTATATGACTAGTTGTTTATAAAAAGAAATCTCGGTTTAAATCTTAAAATTATAAATATTTTCAACTGAGAGGTCAAAAATTGATGATTATGAAAATACAATTTTAATAAAATTAAATTCTTGGATAAATAATTATTTTTGAAGCGATGTAGTACTAATTTATTTTCATTAAAATAAATATAAAGATTGAGCTGTTATAAGCGAGAACATTTTAAAGATATGTAATCATTTAAGTAACTTTTGGAATTGTGATCCATTACATATTTTTTATTATATGAATTGATTAGTAATTCAATTATGGGATAAATTAAAATTACTGTTTGTGTATTTAAAATTTAAAATTTGATATATTTTAAAAATGATATTCAACTTTTTAAATGATTTTATGTTAGAACTTTTAGATATTATGGTGTTGATCTTGTCTAGCATTGAGTTTTAGGTTGATTTTGCATAAAACAAATTACAAGGAATGTGACTAATTCTTAACCTTTATAAGAGGTTCTCTTCCCCGTGAGTGTGTGTGTGTGTCTATATATATATATATATATATATATATATATATTTGTTTATTTGTTCAAATAAGTTAACTAACCAAAACTTGGAGAAAACTTTAAATTGAGTTAATTTGTTTCAAATATGATACATAATTTGTCTACTCTAATTTGAGAGAAAGTGTTAAAATAAGTATTAAATTAATGTAGAAAGTAGTTGTATTGAAAACTATTAGTTATATCCAAATTTGTACCTATGTTTTTAGTTCAAATTTTTGATCTTGAATTTTCCCTCTTCTCATTATATTATAATTTTATTATATATGATCATAAAAGGGTGTTTTCAAGTCCTAGAATACATTGTCAATTTCATTTCCTCTTTATTATCTTAGTAAAATAACGACAAAAGGTATTGGGATTAAAGTTTAAGAACACATTTAATAAAATTTAATAAGAAAGATTTAACGAAAGTAAGAATAATAAAATGTAAGAATTTAGGATTAATAAAGTATAAAATATTTGATAAATTTTGTTATTTTTAATTAAGTTTCTGTCATTTAATTTTTCTATTAACTGGGTGAGGTGATTGTTACTGTGTTCCGTCATTTTATTTGTCTCTATATATTAAAAAAATTGGAGTTTTGTAATTAATATAAAATGATATTAAAATTAATGTAAAACTACTTGTAACTTGTATTGTTTTCGTTAAAAACATGTTGGATAACTAACTATGACACTTTCATCAAAATATATGACAACTTTGTTATCAAATGTAGTTTAACGAAAACAATAAAAATTATTTATTGTTTTACATTAATCAAAATATTATTTTATATTATTCACATAATTTTACATTTTTTAAATACATAAGTACAAGTAAATAGTATAATGAGACAATATAATAACCATATCACATAAGAAAAAAAATTTGTAAGAACTTAATGGAAAAATATAAACAAAAAATAATAAGTGAAAATAATTTTTTTAATTAGATTAATACTTAAAAATTATGATTTTTTAGAAAAAAATATTCTTTTTTAAATTTTAGTCCAATTAACCCAACCTAATTAAACCTTCTTAACAATGAGTTGGTTAGATTATTATTATAAAAAAGAAACAAAAATCCAATCTAACCCAACCCAATATTTTTAAATAGATTGAATAATAGGTTTGTCCAAATCTTATAAAACCCAATCCGTTAATACTCCTAATCTTTAATTGTAACATCCCAAAATACAGTAATCACCATAATTTAGAATTAATTACAATTAACAGTTAAAACATGCAGCCTTACACTAATAATAAAAATTCCAAAACGAACATGCTTAAGTACAAAGATAAAATACCATACAGCAGTATTTCAAATTCTAAAGACGAACGGTTTTACAAACTTTAACCGAACGTCCAAACATCTAAATAGAAACACTAAAGACTACAACTTAACTATCGCTCTATGGCTCGGCTT